ATGAGGCCCTGGGTTCGATTCCTTAGCACCACATAAGCAAAAAGAAAAAAGCCGTTAGTGGCGCTGTGGCTCAAGTGGTAGAGCTCTAGCCTTGAGCTGAAGAGCTGAGGGACAGCGCCCAGGCCCAGAGTTCAGGCCCCACAACCGGACTGCCCCTCCCCCCCCCCAAAAAAAAGAATGTTCTTTTTCCCTTACTCTTGAAAACTTCTCTTGTAAGTTACAATGTCCTTGGAATGTTAAATAATTCAAATTAGTTACTGTTAACTATCTCAATATGTTCACCTTTACCTCCTCTCAATAAAGGAATCCCCAAACCTGAGTCATTCTAAGGTTGTAAGTCCTAAAGCAACAGTTCACAAAGAAAATTAAATAGACTGAAACAACAGTAACAGGAAAAAAAGAAGGGCTGGAGGTATAGATCATCAGTCGATCATCTATCCGGCAAGTACTAGCCTCTCAGTTAAAACCCCAGTACTGTTATTTTTAAAAATCCATAAATAAAATCAACACTGATGCTTGATACTCAGACACTATGCTGAGCATTTTATATATCAGCATCTCATTTCATCAAAAAGCTTAGCTACTTTTTACAGTGCTTTCTGTGCTGTCACACTTTTGCTTCTTTATTAAGGTATAATTCAAACTATTATCCTCAAGTATCTACCTTCTAGGTAGCTAGAATTACAGGCAAGCGCCATCATGCCTGGTGGTGGCGGCTGCTGTTGCTGCTGCTGCTGCTTCTTTTTTTAAGAATTGAGTTGTCTATACATTCTAAACATATAAATCCTTTACTAGTCTTTTGCCTTTTCATTTTCTTAACACTATCTAAGATCCTGTTGGATAAAACTAGATTAAAGCACAAATAATATTATGCATTCAGATTGGAGCATTCAGTTGAATTATTTCCATAGAGTGGAATTGTTGACTGGTTTGGTATTTAGTTGAGGAGAAATAAGTAAATTTTTACCTATAAATAAAACTAACATTAAATGTTAAAGTGCATGACTATACAGGCATATGTGTATGTAAGTATGTGTATTTATGTATTTATATATAACAGTTTTAGTAAAGGTATATTTTACTTCCAATAAAATTCATCATTGTAAGTATACAGGCTGTTGGCTTGTTTTGGGTTTTTTTGAGACAGTGTTTCACTTCATAGTCCAAGTTGGCCTTGAACACACTTTATAACCCATATTTACCCCACCCCCACCCCAACACACACACACACACACACACACACACACACACACACACACATTGAGAAACTTCTAGAAAGAATAAATCAAAGAGTCATAATGAAAATTAGAAAACATTTTAACTAAAATATATAAAAATATTGCTATTGTTAAAATTTTGCCCTAGTAAGTGAGAAAATAGGCATACTGAAAATTAAGGCGTGAAATACCTATGTAAGAAGATGCGGAACATAAAATAGAATGACACAAATCTAAGCAAAGTTAAAGGAAGACAATATAGAACAGAAATTAATGAACCAGAAAACAAATAGTAGGGGCTGGGAATGTGGCTTAGTGGTAGAGTGCTTGCATGAACAAAGCCCTGGGTTAGATTCCTCAGTACCACATAAAAAGAAAAAGGCAGAAGTGGTGCTATGGTTCAAGTGGTAGAGTGCTAGCCTTGAGCAAAAGAAGCTCAGTACAGTGCTCAGGCGCTGAGTTCAAGCCCCAGGACTGGCAAACAAACAAACAAAAAATCAAACCAAGTAATAGAAGTTTAAAAAGACAGACCCCCTGGGGAATCTGACCAAGGGGGGAAAATGTAGCCAATGTTACAAAGCTGAAAATGGTGGGAAAAGAGAGCAATAGAAGGGATTATTTTGATTAAACTATAATATACATACATGTCAATTACAACTGATTCTGCAAATACAATAAAACAATTTTATAACTTTATGTAGTAAGTTTGCAGTTTTTGATGAAATAAATATTAGAAACTTTCATCTATTAAAAACTAAGAGTCCAAAGTACCATATAAACAGAAAAAGCAGGAAATGGTGCTGTGGTTCAAGTGGTAGAGGGTTAGCCTTGAGCAAAAAGAAGCTCAGAAACAGTGCCCAGGTCCTGAGTTCAAGCCCCAGGACTGACAAAAAAAAAAAACAAACCAAAAAAACAAAACCAAGAGAACTATATTTGTAATTGAGTAATTAAACTAAAGATACGAAATTCATACATCATAGCTTCTCACAAAGAAAATTCCAGAATCAAATGAATTTACAAATGAATTCTATTTTTCAGAAATAATTAATATTAATATTAAGTAAATTAAAATTAAATTAAATCATTAATTAAAATTAATATTAAGCAGACATAATTCTGACTTTACACAAATTATTCTAGGGAATAAAAAACAGAGAGGTCACTCTTTTAACTTGCTTATAAATCAGTAAATGTAGAGTAAAACTACAAAAAAGGAGGAGCTAAGCATAACTAATATCAAAATAGTGGTGAGGAAAGAGGTTTTAAATGGGAATGGGCAATCAAGTAGGTTTCTCAGGCTGACAGTATTCTGTTTTCTAACCTCAGTGCTAGTTTCCTAGCATTTGCTATATATTAAAATGCACATTTCAGGCTGGGAATGTGACTTAGTGGTAGAGTGCTTGCCTAGTATGCATGAAACCCTGGGTTCGATTCCTCAGTACCACACAAACAGAAAAGGCTGGAAGTGGCACTCTTTGCACAAGTGGTAGAGTGCTAGCCTTGAGCAAAAAGAAGCCCAGGAACAGTACTCAGGCCCTGAATTCAAGCCCCAGGACTGGAATAAATACATAAATAAACAAATAAATAATAAAATGCACATTTTATTTTGCCACTATATTGCACATGTAGTATAATCTGTAATAAAAATTTAAATTTGAGCCAGGTGCTGGTGGCTCCTATTTATAGTTCTAGCTACTCAGAAGTTTGAGATCTGAAGATTGTGGTTCAACGCCAGCCCAGGCAGGAAAGCCAGCCAGGGAGGAAAGAAAAATCACCTGAAAACCAGAAGAGGCCCTGTGGCTTAAAGTGGTAGAGCACTATCCTTGAGTGCAAAAGCTCAGGGACAGTGTCCAGGCCCTGAGTTCAAGCCCAATGACTGACAAAAAAAAACAAAAAAGAAAAAAGAAAAATTAAATTTGTAGAACCAGTGTCACTGAATAAGAGAATGCTATAAAATATTTGTTGATTCTTATTCTTGGATTTCAGTCATTTATTTATTTATATTTACTTATTTTGAGTTACTGGGGATCAAAGAAGCCAGATAAGCAATCTACCCCTACTCAGTCCTAGATTTCAGTACTTCTTTTTTTAGAATGGGGTCTTGCTATTCAGCCAGGCTAGCCTCAAGTTTGCAATCATTCTGCTATTGTCTCCTCAGTGCTGGATTTACAGGTGTGCACCACCACACCCAGTCAGTAATTCACTATACCATATATTTTCTCCTCCCTCCCTCCCTCTCTCTCTCTTCTGTTCTTTCCTTTTGGTTGGTCGCGGGACTTGAACTCCGGGCCTAGGTACTGTCCCTTAGCTCTTCAGTCAAGGCTAGCGTTATACCACAGTAAGCCACAGTGCCACTTCCAGTTTTCTGGTGATTTATTGGAGGTAAAAGTTTCATGGCCTTTCCTGCCCAGGCTGGCTTTGAACTGTGATGCTCAGATCTCAGTCTCCTGAGTAGCTAGGATTACAGGTGTGAGCCACCAGCACCAGGTTATTCACTTACTTTAACAGTAAACTTATTGAACAACTTTATAATTTCCTCTTCTAGGAGATTGTCTCAATAGTCATCTCTTTACTGAGGAGATTGTCTCAATAGTCATCTCTTTACTGACTACTGGCTTTCACTATTAACACATCCTGGTATTATATTTTGTGGTAAGGGTATCCTTAAATATTTTATAGTTTCTGAGACATTATAAAACCAAATTTTAAATCTTTTTTTTTTTTTTTGGGGGGGGGTCTGGTCATGGGGCCTGAACTCTGGGCCTGGGCACTGTCCCTCAGCTCTTCAGCTCAAGGCTAGCGCTCTACCACTTGAGCCACAGTGCCACTTCCAGCTTTTTTTCTTTTTTGCTTATGTGGTGCTGAGGAATCGAACCCAGGGCCTCAGGCATGCAAAGCAAGCGCTCTACCACTGAGCCACCTTCCCAGCCCGTGAGACACCTTCCCAGCTCCCCAAATTTTAAATCTTGAGTTTAGGTGTATAGGTAATAATATACAAATACCAACAAATAATTTGTATGATTATATATAAAGACAAATAAAATAAATTGTTTAATCTGGAACCAAATAAGCATGAACTCAGCAATTCTTTTAAGAAGTTCACATCTGTTTCATATCATTATTTTAATTCATTTGTTTTTGTTTTTTATGTACTCGGCCCTCATTCAAACTTTAGGTCTTAACCAAGTTTTTATTCTAATAGGAAATTTACTGATCTGAAATATAAATAATCTTTTGTTAAGACCACACCATTTGATTATTTCTCTATAACTATAACAAAAGTATAGCTAAGTGGAGCAGCACTCAGCTAACATGCATAAGGCATTGAGTTCCATTCCCAGCTCTGGAAAAAAAAAAAGCTCAGTAAACAAAAATCAAATTTTATTTTGGCAATAATTACAAAGCTCATGGTAAACTAACTGCTTCTAATCTCCTTTCTATGTAGTGCTTTCTTTTTCTTTTTTTTGCCAGTTCTGGGGCTTGACCTCAGAGCCTGGGTACTGTCCCCAAGCTTCTTTTGCTCAAGGCTAGCACTTTACCATTTGAGCCACAGTGCCACTTTTGGCTTATTCTGTTAATGTAGTACTGAGGACTTGAACCTACGTCTTCATGCATGCTAGGCAAGCCTTTTAATGTCCCCTTTAATGTACATAGTAAACATCAGAATACTACACACTAAAGCAATTCCAACCAAAATTGTGGCAACCTGAACTTTGGTCTACAACACTGCAATCAATTTGTTAAGCTTAAAAAAATTAGTATTTTCATTTAAAAATTTCTTACTTTTGGAACATGAGGATTAAATTCCACAGCTCTATGAATTGCTTCCACAGCATTGATTTCTGCTGTGCTTAATCCTCTTCTGCAGGCTGTTTCTGGAGAGAATCTGTGGGGAAAAAAAAGACAAAATGAAGAAATGAACAAATAAAAAAAAAAAGAAAATTATGGAGTTAGACTACAATATAGCCCCTGAATCAGAGGTTTCTGATAACGGCCAAAGATAAGAGCATATAATTATTACAAATGAAAGTAAAGCATCTAGTTCAACATAAAAACATGAACTGAGTGTCAGTGGCTCACACCTGTAATCCTAGCTACTTAGGAGGAAGGACAGCTTTGGCAAAAAGTTTACAAGACTCCATATCAATGGAAGAAGCTGAGACATGGCTGTAATTTCAGCAACAAGAAGTGAAAAATAGGTATATCATGGTCCATGTGTGTACCCAGTCAAAAAATAAGATACTATCTCAAAAATAACCAGTGTGAAACAGGGCTGGAGGCATGGTTCAGTGGTATAGCACTTGCTTAGCAAGTACAAGGCTATGAGTTCAAATCTCAATGCTGTTGAAAAGAAATTTCAAAGATAATAAGAAATGCTACCAAGGGCAGGGGCAACCAGAAAAATCTCAAGAAACAGAAGTACATTTTCATCAAAATTTTAGCTAAGAAGAAAGATAATGAATATTCGCTGTAATTTATATCAAGGAATACTTATTAAAAGAAAATGGGCACTCTGTCTCTTTCTTTTTTATATGCTGATACCAGGACTTCAACTCAGAGTCTCATGCTTTTGCTCAGCCCTCTTCTATTCAAAGCTGGACCTATATCTCTAAAGCCATGCCTACAATTCTGTTTTATTTGCTCATTAACTGGAGGTGAGAGTCTCATGGACTTTTCTGCCCAGGCTAGCTTCAAACTTTGCTCTTTAGAGCTCAGCCTCCTAAGTAATTAGGAATACAGGCATGAGCCACTAGTGTGCAGCTGGTTCATGTCTGAATATCTTTTTATTTTGGACAAAGGATCTCACTGGCAAGTTTCTGTATATATCTTATTTGCCATATAAAGAAAATTTATTAAGGATAGACAAAAACAGAAGGAAAGCAGAATAATTCAATCACAATCTAAGAACAGACAACGTGAAACCTATTTCCCTACCAGACACAATTTACCGTGTGTATTTTTTTTTTTTTGTCGGTCGTGGGGCTTGAACTCTGGGCCTGGGCGCTGTGCCTCAGCTCTTCAGCTCAAGGCGAGCACTCTACCACTTGAGCTACAGCGCCACTTCCGGTTTTCTGGTGGTTTATTGGAGATAGGAATCTCACGGTCTCTCCTGCCCGGGCTGGCTTTGAACCGCGATCCTCAGCTCTCAGCCTCCTGAGTAGCTAGGATTACAGGCATGAGCCACCAGCGCCCGGCTTACCGTGTGTACTTTTGAGCATACTCTCTTTCTAGTCATTGCTTTAGGTGCTCTGTATATATATATATAATCTTCACAAATCATCCTATAATAACATTATTATTTTGAGGATGAGGAATAACTCAAAGTAATGAACTTGTCCAAAGTTCTACAGCTAGTATGTGATAAAGTTTGAATTAAATTCCTATTAAATTAATTCTAACTTTTTTTTGCTTTCCAATACACAAATTGAAAGGCCTCAAAGTTACAGAAGATCAAGAATTATTCAGAAGGAAGCAGAAAGGAAAAAACAGTTTTTAAGTCAGTGGTAGATCAGGGCATGGAAGTTCAGGCCTATAATCCCAGCACTTTGGAGACCGAGGCAGAAAAATTGCAAGTTTAAGCTACCTAGCAAGCTACCTAGCAAGATCCTGTCTCTAAATAATTAAATAAATAAAATTAATAAAGTCAGTGAAGAAGAAACACAATATTGAGTTTAGCAGTCTTCCCAAATTACTATAGTTTAGTATCTACTTACTTATCTGAGACAGTCCTTGTTTTTAATAGTGCTGCTGTATAACAGATTGCTGCTGACTTTGGAAGGCTTATATCTGTAACAATAATTTTTAAATAAGGTAAGAATTATTTTAAATGTCTTAGGATAATTTTTATAAACCTAATTTATATGCAAATCCAACAGGTGTATTATAGTGGTAGAAGCACTTAGACACAGTTAAAATACCTAATTCTACTATCTACTAGCTACTATTTATGAGCTGATAGCCATTTCTTTCTTTTTTTTTTTTTGGTTGGTCGTGGGGCTTGAACTCGGGGGTTGGGTGCTGTCCCTGAGCTCTTCAGCTCAAAGCGAGCACTCTACCGCTTGAGCCATTGCGCCACTTCCGGTTTTCTAGTGGTTTATTGGAGATAAGAGTCTCACAGACTTTGAACTTTTTTTTCTTTTTTTTTTTATTGTGAAAATACTGTACAGAGGGCTTATAATTACATGGGCAAGATAATGAGTACATTTCTTTTTTTTTTTTGGGGTCCGGTCATGGGGCCTGAACTCTGCCTGGGCACTGTCCCTCAGCTCTTCAGCTCAAGGCTAGCACTCTACCACTTGAGCCACAGAGCCACTTCCGGCTTTTTTCGTGTTGCTTATGTGGTACTGTGGAATCGAACCCAGGGCCTCAGGCATGCAAGGCAAGCGCTCTACCACTGAGCCACCTTCCCAGCCCCTGTGAGTACATTTCTTATCAAGCATTGTAGCCTCCTCCTTTGTTTCCCCTTCCCATCCCATCCTCCCCCCGCTCCCCTACTCAACCCTCCTCCCCCAGTACCGAAGTTGTAAAAGTAGTTTTCAGCATAGGACTTGTATGTCTCATTGTTGCAGTGGGTCAACCTGTATCCTGTGATCCTCAGATCTCAGCCTCCTGAGTAGCTAGGATTACAGGCGTGAGCCACCGGCGCCCGTCTGATAACAATTTCTTTGCTCTCAGTTTCTACTTCTCTAAAGAGAGAATGCTACTTTCTGGCAGGGTGTAACTGTCTTTGAGAACCCTGTGCACAACAAGTGCTCAACAAAGTTTTACAGTAAGAGGATTCAGGAGAAAAGCTATAATTATAATTATATAAATATATGTATATATAAACACATCTAATCGTACAGAAAAATTAAGATTATAAAAAATTAAATATAGTCTGTTAAATCAATTACTGTTGAAACAAACAAGGGTGATTTTTATTTTTCCTTTGTCTTAAGCTTTTGTATTTTCCATATCTTCTTAAATAATACTTTTTATAAAATGAAAAAAAGTAATTTGGGAGTATAAACAAAATAAAAATTTACAAGAATGCCTAAAATAGCATTATCAAAAGAGTAAGAATGGGGCCTGGGAAGGTGGCTCAGTGGTAGAGCGCTTGCCTTGCATGCATGAGGGCCTGGGTTTGATTCCTCAGCACCGCATAATCAGAAAAAGCTGGAAGCAGTGCTGTGGCTTAAGTGGTAGAGTACTAGCCTTGCGCTAAAGAGGTAAGGGACAGCACCCAAGCCCAGAGTTCAGGCCCCAAGACCAACAAAAAAAGAAGAGTAAGAATGACAAACAGGATGTTTTAAATTCTAGTTACACTAAGGAAGAATATTTGCTTTTAATGACTTTAGGATTCTAAAGGATGATAAAAACTGAGAGATATGAAAACTGACAAAAGAAGCACAGCAACTTTAGCTTTATTAGTTTTACCTGATTTTACTTTAATGAATTGGGTCTTATTCTGAATTTTTTGGAAGGGGGCAGAACTGGCATTTAAATTCAGAGCTTTGTACTTGCTAGGAAGGCACTCTACTACTTAAGCCATGAGCTCAGATGTTTTGCTTTCATTATTTTTTAGTAAGGTCTCACATTATGCCTGTGATAGCCTGGACCTCAATCTCAAGCAGATGAGAACACAGGTATGTACCACCACACTCAACTTTCATTGGTTGAGGTGACTCTCCAAAACTTTTTCCTTGAACCACAGTGCTCTCAATTCCCACCTTCTCAACAGCTAGGATTACAGGCATAAGCCACCACATCTAGCTCTTATTCTGACTTTTTATATTTAGTCCCTAAACTTTCAGCACAAATATTGTAAGCAGGTTATGCATCCAGCAAGTTACATATGGAAGGAATTTCTTGCAAATTTCTCCCTAAGTCTACACAATTCTGAAATATCTGGAATTTTGCCTAAGAATTCCAGATGTTAAAAATAAATAAACTTCCAACTATAACACATTTCAAAGTTTCAAATCATGGAGATTCTCAAGCTAATATATAGGAACCTATGTCAGGACAAGTATAAATATAAATGACTTTATATGCTCTGTCATAATGGAAGATATGGCCAGAAACATTATGTTCATGAGGAAGTGAGGAAGTGTTCAGCTTGGGGTTGAAAGCTGATGTCTCCTCTGAAGGATGAGAAAGTTTATGTCTTTAAAGTTTTCCTAACTCCATTTTCAGTAAACTGCATTGTTATAATAATTAGCATTGTTAATGTATACTGAATTATGGTTGTGAGAGGACTAGTGAACAAAGAAATTGAATACTTGGATTTAAGTTTTGGCTGGCCATTTACTGGCTGGAAGATATCACCTAATATTTAACTTTCTTAAACCCCAGTTTCCTAATTTAGTAAATGGAAAGAGTGAAACTACTTGTCCTATCACCCTTCATGTTTACTGCAAGGACCACATGAGATTATAAGTAACTGTAACTAAAAGGCAGGGTAAAAATGTGATTTTGCATTATTCTTTGTTAGTCTTAAAAACACTATTCAGCACCTTCTGTTATCTTTTATTACTTGATATTTCAAAATAAATTAGGTGAATAGCATTATACTTTTCCAAAGATTTCACCTAACAAGCTGTCTTTATTGTTATGTTCAATTCTCTATACATTCCACTACAATGCAAATCCTCCAAGTTCTAATTCTGTGTCCTCTTATTCACCATTGTGTTCCAAGTGCCTACTCATAGTACATACTCAATAAGCAAAGAAATAATCTTTACAGAAAAGTTCCTCAGGTTCTTCTACCAAAAATCTAGTTAAAGATACTTAACAGCAACTTGGACTGCTATATACTACATGTTGTATGATAATATTGAAAAGATAAAGTCAGGGAAACAGATGAATAGGATCACATTTATAATTACACAACTGAAATGAGAAAACCATTTTATCAAGACATAAAACTCACCATCATATTTTGCTAGTACTGCCTGAACATCTGCATAGGCCTGTAACTCTAAAAGTGATTCTAAGAGATTTTCATGGATGTTCAACATGGTAAAAGGAGGAAATTCTTTCATCAACTGTGCATTAAGAGGAAAAAAAGATTAAAATCATAATAGGAACTCAACAGAGCTGAAATAGATTCATTATTCTTTGCTTCTTTATAAAACTGTGAAGGCCCACCCAACCTTTGATAAATATATGTATATATTAAATACCTTCTTACAAAAATTGCCAATGACAATGATTCTGCATTAAAATAATTGGCAACTTAAACTACATTTTGGTTTTGAATAATGATTCAGTTATCAAATTTACTTACATCTCTCATTATTTTCACTGCTTCTTTTATTCTTCCTAATTTTCTTGCACACATTGCCAATCTTCTTTTAATATATACCAGCACATTAGTATCTCTCCCTATTTAAAAAAAAACACACAAAATTGACTCAACCATCAATTTTGTATTATAACCTGCTATTTCACTAGTGTGTTGCCTATTAATTTTATCTGCTTATCTTGGAAGATTCAAGTAAAATTAAATTGTATCAGATTGGAGGAATATTATTGGTCATTGAACCAATGATTATTAGGTGATGAATATTGAGTGAAAGTACTCCCTACTTTCAAAGTAAAAGCTTATAGAGGTTACTTTTGCCAATAATATTTCAAGTGCAGAATATATATAATTGATAATTGATATAACTGATTAATGAATTTTAATATTAACAGAAATAAATCCATAGATTAATAGAAGATGTAACATTAGCTTATTGTTTTAAGCTTCTGTATAAACCATCAATGCTTTCCCATTAAAAAATATATTTATTTAGGTAGCTTTGGGAATTGAACTCAGGGCTTCTAGCATTCTAGGCATGTACTCTACCACTGGGCTATATAACCCAAGGTCCTATAATTCCTTCTAGTATGTTGCTGTATTCTTATTCTCTACTCCTCCATTTTTCAAAGTGTGTTCTTCTTCCTTCTTAATTTTTTTTTTTTTTTTTGGTCATGAGGCTTGAACTCTGGGCCTGGGCACTATCCCTCAGCTCTTCAGCTCAAGGCTAGTGCTCTACTACTTGAGCCACGGCACCACTTCTGACTTTTTCTGTTTATGTGGTGCTGAGGAATCAAACCCAGGGCCTCATGCATGCGAGGCAAGCACTCTACCACTAAGCCACCTTCCCAGCCCCAATTGCATGCTTCTTTATGTGTATGTATGTGTGTGCACAAAACATTCTTTATTGTTCAATTTAAAAAATGCTTAATTTCCAAAACAAAATTTCTGTGACTAACAAAGTTCTCTTAATAGCTAGTAAGTAACAAATTATAAAACTATTTCTAGAAAGGGATAACAAAGTTCCATAACATAACTATATTTGATATTAGAGAAGGACAAATGGCACAACTTCTTTACATGGGTACATTACTTCTAGGCTACAAAATTAACTATTCTCCTCATTACTCGTAACATACATTAATAAAATATACTGTAAACACCAGTATTTAACTCAGGGAGAAAAACATCATCAGAATTTTAATTTCCACAAACAAAAGATTCAAAAGTTAACTGTTAACAGATAATGCATTATGTAAATATAATTCAATTTATTGCCTACTCCCTGCCCAAATCATAAAACTAAAACCTTCTGGGCACAAAAAAAATAATAAGAAGCAGCACTGCTGATTCTAACATCTTTGGTAAGAGTGTTTCAATCATTACCAAAAGAGCATATCTAGAAATGTAAAGAAAAAAACCCAGACTCAGGGCTGGGAATGTGGCTTAATGGTAGAGTGCCTAGCAAGTATTAAGCCCTGGGTTCGATTCCTCACTACCACATAAACAGAAAATGCCAGAGGTGGTGGTGTGGCTCAAGTGGTAGAGTGCCAGCTTTAAGCAAAAGAAGCTCAGGGACAGTGCCCAGGCCCTGAATTCAAGCCCCAGGACTGGAAAAAAATAAAAACAAAAACAAAAATCCCAGACCCAGTAGTGAAAAAAAATAAAGAAAAATAACCATTAACTCTGCATTGTTAAAGATGGGGGGGGAGACAGAAAGAATGAGGGAGAAAGGAGGAGGGAGGAAAGGAAGGAAGCCACTCCTCACACTATATGTACATACACAGTCTGAAGAACAAACAGAAGTTTGTGCCTGAGCTGGTCATGTACTTGCTTAGCATGCAAAGGCCTCTGGGTTCAATCCCTAGAGGCACAACAAAAGACTTGCATCTACTATTGCTTTGAATAAGGATGAGCTAAAGGTTAAGGTAATACTTTTCTACAGGAGGATATTCTCTATACTAGTTAGCACTTAGAATATTCTTCTAAATCCTACAGTTTTTGAAAACTTTGTTTTGTTAGTTCTGAGGCTCAATCTCAAGGCTTTATGCTCTCATTCCTGGCTGGTACTCTACCACTGAGCCACACCTTCTGTCTGTCTTTTTTGCAGGTTAATTGGACATGGGTCTCTCAGACTGGTTTCAAACCAAGATCCACTGATCTTAGCCTTTTTTAAATAGATATTTTTCATTGTAAAGATACTGTAGAGAGGGGTTACAGTTACATGAGTTGATCTTAGCCTTTTGAGTAGCTAGGTTTACAGGTGTGAGCCTGTATGCTTGGCCCAAACACTTTTGAATTGCTTCTCTAATGGCTGGCCTGATTTTTAGATTAAATAAACTGCTTAGTCTTAGAACAGCAAATTCCTCCCAAATAATCAGAGCAAAATGCCATAAGCATTTTGGCTAGTATATAATTTTTGTCTTCTTTTCTTACAGGTACTAGTTGATTAGAAAACTAATCTTATCTACTATCTCATAAAAAATTAACCTCTAAATAGTAAGCTATTATTATTATTTTCATTATTTTTACAGAAGCTAAAAAGACAATAAAAATCAGTTCAGGGCTGGGAAGGTGGCTCAGTGGTAGAGCACTTGCCTTGCATGCATGAGGCTCTAGGTTCGATTCCTCAGCACCACATAAGCAAAAAGAAAAAAGCCAGAAGTAGCGCTGTGGCTCAAGTGGTAGAGCGCTAGTCTTGAGCTGAAGAGCTGAGGAACAGCGCCCAGGCCCAGAGTTCAGGTCCCACGACTGGACCCCACCCCCCCCCCAAAAAAAAAAAATCAGTTCAAATTTGCTTACTCAGTTGAGCTTCATGTTGAGGACTTTGGTGCTGGCATTGTTGAGATCGCCTATAAATTGTTTCTCCTGCTTTGAGGGCCTGTTTAAATAACCTTTCAGCATCTACAATAGTTGTCGCTTCTTCCTCAGCCAGTAGAACATATGCAGTGGCACAACTATGAAGAAAGCAAGTAAGATAATTTTAAGTACAATGGTAAAGCAAGTATTTCTCTTGGATTATATCCCTTTAGTCTATACCATGTTTCCCCTAGCCTCACCTACACTTTTCCTCTTTGATGAAAAAAAAAATCTTCGTTAAATATTTTAATACATTAAGAGGCACCTTCATTATGTTTAAGACCATAATTCTGCACTCTCATCTTTCTCTTCTACCGCTTACTTTCTCTTTTTTTTCTATGTGCATTCTCTGACACATTGTCCTATGTTTTCATGCGGAAGAGGAGATAAACGACATAAAAAGAAGTGTCTGAATGTTCAATCCTTAGAATCCCAATGCCTCAAAAGAAAAATACTATTTAAAAAGTAGTTCCAGGGACCAAATACTCCAGGGGTAATACCTGCTCTCAGGCACTATATACTTTGCAGTATTTATCTCATGTGGACAGCTACAGGACAAAGTAAAGGCTGGGGAAAATTCCTTGGCTCACTAGGAACCTTTCACATCTGATCAGAAACATATTCCTGGACCTAGGTCTTTACTACAAAACTGAATGTTCCTTTTGTATATGACCCCATCCTCACTTTGAGACTCATCCATAATAACATGAAGCATAATTTCTCTTAGTCTAAATTCCAGTCCTTCTTCCTATAGCCTACTCATACCCCTCACATCCATGTTTATTCAAAGTTTTCCTTCTCTTCACCTTACCAAAACATTAAGATTTTCAAAGTTTTCCTTCTCTTCACCTTACCAAAACACTAAGATTTTTTTCTTTTCGTTTTTTAAAGTCAAACAGCTGGCTAATAAAATAAATTCATTCTTGGTTTTGGGGGGAAAAAAAAACTAAAAAAAAACAGAAGTGTCCTTTGCATTCCCAGAAATAACAAGCACATTTGTTATTGTTCTTAGTTCTGACTATCCAGCCTAGATTTTCCAGTACTCTAATTGGTAGCCACATACAGCTACTGAAACTTGAAATGTGGTTAGTGTGAATTGAAATGTGATGTAAGTGTACACCAAACTTTCAACACTGAGAAAATATAAAATACTTCATTAATAGTTTTTTTATTTTTATTTTTTATTTATTTTTTTGGGTCCGGTCGTGGGGCCTGAACTCTGGGCCTGGATGCTCAGCTCTTCAGCTCAAGGCTAGCACTCTACCACTTGAGCCACAGAGCCACTTCCGGCTTTTTACTTATGTGGTGCTGAGGAATCAAACCCAGGGCCTCGAGCATGCAAGGCAAGTGCTCTACCACTGAGCCACCTTCCCAGCCCCATAGTTTTTTAAAATATTGTATGCCAAAATGTTTTAAAAGTTTGAATGTCTAAATAAGCATTTTACTTTTTAAATGTGGGTACTAGAAATTTTGTTGTTGTTAGTTGTGGGACTTAAAACTAGCACTCTACCACTTGAGCCACAGCGCCACTTCCGGTTTCTTAGAGGTAACTGGAGATATGAGTCTCAGGAGGACTTTTCTGCCAGGGCTGACTTCAGACTCAGATCTTGGTCATGAGTAGCTAAGATTATAGGTGTGAACCACCAGTACCAGGTGAAAATTTTAATTTTCATGTATTTTATACAATATAATTCATTTGAATAGCAGCCCTTTTTCTGCTTTATTTTTCAAGTAAGGTCTTGAATTTTTGCTGGGGCTGGCCTCACACTACAATCCTCATTCCTACCTATGGTTTTCCCTCATAGCTGGGACCATGAGTGCATGCACCATGCCTCCTTTATTAATAGTCATTTTTGTCCATGCTGGCCTTGAACTATGATCTTTCCCATCTCCGCCTTCTGAGTGGCTGAATTACAAGCATAAGCTACTGTGCCTAGTCTTAGTCAATGGTTTTTAGAGTTCTCTATTCTACCATTTTGCTCTACCTTAAGATGGTCTTCTTAATAAGGACAGGAGAGTTTCAAGGGAAAACTCTAAATTCACATTATTCTGGAAGCATTCATTAAGCCATCTCAACTGGGCATATATTTTTACTCTTGACATTTATTTAATGGGTAGTAGACTTAATTGATATGACCATTTACTGACTCAAAGTTTTACATTTTTTTTTGTCTCAAGACATAAAGCGGACACAGTGCTATAAAAATGAAGACAAAAGTTGTGAGAGCTATATTTGATTTATTTTTAATCTTCTAAGCCTTCAAGCCCATTAGCAACTAAAGTTCTCAAGACTGAATAAATGCTTTCAATGAGTGATTTAAATGAAAAACAAAATTAAAACAATGGCCTAAGTATTTTAGTACACTTTTAACTATCCAGTCTTATCACCAATAATCAATATTACCCAAATTAAAAGGAATTTCTAAGATGTGCCTACTCAAAAACATATATATGTTTACAACTTTAGAAACAAAATACAAATGTCCAATGAATGCTGCAAATTTTATTCTTAGTATGCAGAAAAGGAAAGGGGACTGTTAAAACTCTATGTGTTTTAGGAGTAGAAAAAAGGAAATATAAAAGCATTTTCCTGTGTTTCCTTAAAAATAAACTTATTTTCCATATATTTCAAACTTACTCATTGTTTAATTCTAAAGCTTGATAGGCTGCTTTGATGCGAGCTGGAGGATTTCTTTCCCTCCATGCCTTCTGCATAACTGTAGGAAAAATATTGCAAAAAGTGGATGAGATGATAAACATAAATAATAATCTTATGCAAATTGTATGAAAAATGTTCTAGAGGAGCAAATAAAACCTTAAATAACATGTTCATAAACATATGAAACAAGAAACTGAGTTACTAGCTTACATTAATTGTATGAGAAATTTACACTAAATTTGGAAAGTTTTCATATAGTAAAAAAATTCTATGATTTATATGAGTAACAACATGTAAGGAACTTAACTATTATAACATTATTACATATAAACATATGTATATATAAGTGCATGTTAAAATTAAGTTTGAGTAATACATTAGATTATAATCAATATGTTCTACTCTTTACCATTATGAAAGATTCTATGGAACTGTTAGAAATATACAAAAACTTAAAAACAAAGTCTTTGCTCAATGATTCACTATAGAAAGGTATCTAATTTATATGTTGTATGAAAACTGGAAAGGGAAAACAAACCAATTAGAAATACTGTACATTTCTGGGAAATGTCAGCTCTGCCAGAGCTGAAAATAAAAGCCTTGAGTTAGGATTTCTCTGGAAATATAGTAGTTTTGCTACCATTTGCTGTACCACAATTAAGATATCACTTTAAGTGCTAAGATTCTTGTAAGTTAAACGAACAAACAAGTAAACAACGTAGATTTCTAAATCTAAAGTAGATTTCTAAGTCTGTCTATTTTAAGTTTGATGAGAAAAATGGAGAACCTATGAGTGTTGATTTTGGAACAAAACCTACAACTCTTCAGAAAGAATAATGTGGAAAATGAGTTTTCCTTTGGAAACGAAATATTAGTCTTGGCTTAGAAAAGGAGACAATATATTCCACTGTGAAACAAAACTATATTTCTCATATCAAACATGTCACCAGTTAGCTGATAGCTAGTGCTTCCTAAACTTGACAAATTGATGCAAGTCAGCGTTCATTTGATACTGACCAAGTAGAGAACATCATTCTGTGAAAATTCTAAAATACCAAAATGAAGTATATTAGGATTTGAAATTTTTGATGAGTCTCTTTTCTTTAAGCTACATGATATTTAGAAATAAAACTTTAATGCTGAATCTTAACCAACATTTTATTGGGTATTCTGCTATACTAGATATGTATCACATTTTCTGAAACCATTTTCCTTTTGATGGAATGCTTTCCTGCTATAAAAATATTATAACATTCTTTCTGTAACCATTTTCCTTTTGATGGAATGCTTTCCTGCTATAAAAATATTACAACAATCTTTCTGTGCCTTTGTCTATCTTGTTATAGCTGATAAAATACTTCCTTTCTAGAACAACAGTTCCAGTTGGTTAAAATATATGTACCTTTTAAAAGACCTTGGATATATGCACCCAAACTCCTCAATATTCATTTGTACTGTTGAGGTATCAGAGAGTGACACTATTTCTACTTTCTTACCAATATATTATAGGTTGAATGCCCCTAATCCTTATCCAAAATCTGAAATGCTCCAAAAGCTAAAACATAAAACTACAAATAGAGAATTCCACACTTGACTTCACGTGATGGATTGTAGTCAAAACACAGGCACACTAAGAATATTATATAAAACTACCTTCATCTATTTATATAAGGTATATATGAAGCATATGTGAATTCTGTGCTTAAATTTGGGCTGCATCTCCAAGATATCTCATTTTCAAAATTAAATATTCTCAAAATTGAAAAAATCTGAACTCTAAAACACTTCTCGTCACAACTGTTCCATACTCAATTTGTATGATCAAGTCTTTGCTATTTTAATACATGAAGGCAATCTCATTTTCATTTGTTTCAATTTCTAGTGATGTTATATAAACCCTTTGTAGGTACCTTTTCTTATTCTTATGTTTTCATATACTCTATCCAATCTTTCAAGACTATTCTTCACAATCAAGGCAGCCCTAAGCCTAAAAGAAAGGCGGAAATAAAGTTGAGGAAGAAAAATGAATATTTTTTTCTAAAATAAGGCCTAGGAATAATTTAAAGCAAACTGCTGATTTACTAATCAATTTTCTAAGAGCTCATGATATACCTAAAATAATTAACACAAGCAATTAGCAAGTTGCTCGTTTATCTTTTAAGTTAAACAATATTTAATAAAAGAGAACAGCAGAAATCAGCACACCAGGGATCACAAATGTAAATGCCTACAAAAGCTAAGCAGGAAACACAAAAGAACTAAAAACACATGCACAATTTAACTCTCTCTGATTTCTACAAAGTTGTCTTTCCTACTTTCCAATTAAAGGTGTAAATTTAGATTTTAATGTGAAATCTCTCGATTTGTTTTCTTTTTGAGCCAGGTTATCACTCTATTGTCTAGGCTGATGCTGAACTCCTGGACCAAGTGTATATCCCACTCCAGCCTCCCCAGTGGACTCCAGGTATATACCATTTCCCCAGGATCCTGATTTTTAAATGTTAAAAAGAAAAACAAAAGTTTAAATATTCTTTTTGGCTGGCCCTTGAGAGTAAGTTTGTTCTTTGACTTAGAAAAATAAATCAGTAAAATAACAAAAATCTAATAATGTAATAGATGGTTATAAATCAAGGGATATGTGCCATCTCTCTCTCTCTCTCTCTCTCTCACACACACACACACACACACACACACACACACACACACACACACACACACACGCCATTGCCTTTTTTTTAGTATAAAGCTGCTAATATAAAGTATTGTGTCGGGCTGGGAATGTGGCTTAGTGGTACAGTGCTTACCTAGCATGCATGAAGCCCTGGGTTTGATTCCTCAGTACCACATAAACAGAAAAGGCCAGAAGTGGTACTGTAGCTCAAGTGGTAGAGAGCTAGTCTTGAGCAAAAAAAGAAGCTCAAGGACAGTGCCCAGGTCCTGAGTTCAAGCCCCAGGACTGACCAAAAAAAAAAGTATTGCCTTTATGTGAAATGTCTGAAAGGATCAAGATGGGACAATCCATTTCTGAATTGTCATTCAACAAATAAAAGTCTGTCCTTGAGTTCAATCTTTAACTGGATTATATATACCTTTAGACATACATGAAACCTTTTCACGGACCAAAAAGGCACACATAAATTTAAGGGAATCAATTTCTAAAGCCTTGACTTCATTCAACTCTTTCTGACTTTTTGCTAGAATTGATTTACCTGAAGAATATTCCTCTGATCAATGTGTTTGCAAAGTAGTTTTCCTTTCCTACGTATCCACAATCCCTACATCCCTCCTCTGAGAGACATATATACACACCCTTCTATTCTACAAAAGATTTGCTTCCTAACCCTTCAGAATTTTTCTAAGACACATTGCCCTATAATATAAAAAAGGACAATGGAGTTTGGGGGTAGCTTTTGTTTGTTTATTTAAACAGGCCTGGGCTCTAGAGCCTCCTGACTTAGAATCCCAAGTGCTGGGATTACAAGTCAAATATCAGCAGTAGATAGTGATTTTAAATCAATGTACCATATTAAAGGGATTCCTGACTCTTACTCATTTATTTGAACAGTGGAACTTGCCATTAAGCAATAGAGTATTCTGGCTCCTGGATGCTTCATATCAGGGAGTGATAACACTTTTATTAGTTCCATTAGTACCCATACCCAACTACTATTAAAAAATGCATTACTCCTAATGTTAAAAGTATCCTTTACAAAAAGGCAAAGGGCACATTAGTAAGAAATAATAAATATAAGAGCCTTCTTTTGGGCAAGTGATAAGCTCTAGGCAAAGCTTCAACATTTGTCTTTCTATTTTAAAAGGTGAATTGAAGCACCTTTCTTTGACATTAGTTCACAGATGAACTATTATCTGGTATTTTATACTTTGAAAAAAATTCGGCAACATAGTAAAAAAAAATGGTGGATTGAGTATAGTTGACTGTCATGGAGATGCACGTAAGTATATTTGAAATGAAAAACAAAGTCAACATTTTCTGTCAGAAAACAAGTATAATTTGCTTGATAGTACTGACAATGAAGGCACCCAATTAGGTTACATGAAAGACATATTCTTAAATTTAAATTGCTAAGTAAGTAGCTTCAAGGATTTGACAAAAATGTAATTAAATATGTTTAACTATATTACATAATGTTCATATGTTTCTCCATTGCTATATGGACTTTTATGTTATTTACCAGTTAAAATAAATTAACTTCCACTAAAAACAACAACAATAAAAAATTTAAGATATAACATTTCGAACTGTATGGTCAAATGAATTTTAAACTTCATAATTTTATATAAAATGGTTATTGTAGGAAAGTCTGCAAGTTTGATAAAAGACTCTCAAATAAAAAATATTTTATAAAATTATACTAGGGTGCAGAATAGATGAACATTTAAGAAAAAGGATCTCTAGGCTGGGAAGTGCATTCCTGGAATCCTGGCACTAAGGAAAGTTCTTGAATTTGAGGCCAGTCTAAGACAGGCCACATAGCAAGACTCCTAACGAAGAAAAAAAACAAGCAGCAAACAAAGCCAACCAATCAACCAAAGGAACTTAAAATTTTACTATTGTAAAAGGGTATTTATTTGTATAGTTTTCAATGGATAATGGTATGTGTCAAACTATTTGATAGCAGAGACTAGTGTGGTTCAATACTAGATTGTTGGACCCATGTAGAGGCCCTGGGTTCAGTCCTAGCATATATACACACATACACAAACACAGAAAAAAACAGGCATGTGATTCCATAGTATACATTTAAATATAAGGTACAGCATTTTAAAAAATTCTATATTTTGCAATATGCCAAAAACCATATTTGTACTCATTTAATCTTATACTATCAACTTAAAAATGTGTGAAAGGATTCACAGATCTTCAAAAATATTTCAGAAGAGGGCTGGGAAGGTGGCTCAGTGGTAGAGCGCATGCCTTGCATGCCAGAGGCCCTGGGTTCGATTCCTCAGCACCACATAAGCAAAAAGAAAAAAGCCGGAAGTGGCGCTGTGGCTCAAATGGTAGAGCGCTAGCCTTGAGCTGAAGAGCTGAGGGACAGCGCCCAGGCCCAGAGTTCAGGCCCCATGACTGGACCCAAAAAAAATTAAACAAAACAAAACAAAACAAAAATATTTCAGAAGATACTCAAGCAAAAATGTTTTAAGATCACCTAGGAAAGCCAAAGGATATATCTGAAAAGTCTACTGATGGTTGTAATTTTATGAGGGAAATGAGACCTAATATGTAGTCATCTCAGTTGTTAAAGTTAACATACAATATTAATATTCTATTGCCAGTAATTTCCTTTACACATATGTATTTTTTGTCAATACTGGGGTTTGAACTCAGGTTCTATGCTTGCTAGGTAGGTACTCATCATTTTAGCCATATCCCTCATCCTATATACATTTGTTATTAATATAAACATTAAGCATATAAACAAAAAGTAATTCAGTTTTTTCTCCTCTATTCGTAGCTCAACTTTTTTTCTTTTGGGTCCGGTCATGGGGCCTGAACTCTGGGCCTGGGCGCTGTCCCTCAGCTCTTCAGCTCAAGGCTAGCACTCTACCACTTGAGCCACAGTGCCACTTCTGGCTTTTTTCTTTTTGCTTATGTGGTGCTGAGGAATCGAACCCAGGGCCACATGCATGCAAGGCAAGTACCCTACCACTGAGCCACCTTCCCAGCCCCTGTAGCTGAACATTTTATGTAAGAGCTCTAGACTTCTTCGTAGATCTCTAGACTTCTTGCTACTATCTACACTTAATACATTTAATACAGCAAAGATGTATCACATTGAACTGATTTTTAATGCTAAGAAACTGACTTTTTCAGACCCATATTAGTAATTTTCTTTATCAATCAAGAGAAGCAGCAGTCATATAATGGTTAAAAAAAAATACTTGAGCTTGAAATCCAGTCTTACCATTAATTAGCTATTGGACTCAGGGCAGTCCCTTTACTTTTAAAATGGACTGGTAATAGTATTTACTTCAAAAAATGATTTTAAAAAATCAAGCCAATACATCTTTGAATATCTAATTCCTAATAAATATTTGCCAACTGGTAGCTATCAGTGAAATTGTTTAGGACATGTGTGACACCAATGTCATTTATTTATACATACTTTTGTGTGTGTGTGTACTGGCCTGAGCTTGACCCCAGGGCTGGTGCTCTACCATTTGAGCCATAACTCCACTTCCAATGTTTTGCTAGTTAATTGGAAATAGGAGTCTTGTAGACTTTCCTGCCTGGGCCGGCTTTGAACCACAATTCTCAAATCTCACGTTCCTGAGCAGCTAGAATTATAAGTGTGAGCTACTAGCACCTGGCTCACTCATACATACTTTTAACAAAGAAAGAATGAATATTATTTATAGTATGACAAGCAATGTGCTATATGACAGGGATGCAAAAATGAAAAGAATACATCCCTGATCTATAAAAGGCTTCATATTCTGTTAGAGAAGATAAACATAAAAGCAAAAATGTGATTAACATTAACAAATGAATGCTGTTGGTTGAATTAATAAATCAGTATTAATTTATAAGATTTACACTAAGTACTGTAGTACTAAAGACCAAAGTGCTCAACTCTGACAGAATAGCCAAGAGAAGGCTACTTTAGAGAAGTTGATTTTTAATTTGGATATTGAAGTATAAAATGTAACTCATCATATAGATAAGGAAAGTGAGGGCATTAATAGTAGAACTTACGAAAACATCTATCTTAAAGCCCCATAAGTTTCAACACTTGCTTCTCAGGGCTTAACTATGTATGCTAGGCAAGCCCTCTATCATTGAGCCACATCTCAGTCCTCAATACTCTGTCACAGAGAAAAGCTTATGGAGAACTAAATGTAAACATTTCTTTATATATATTTTTATCTTATAATGTTTCTTATATCCTATAACTTTTATAACTTATGACTTATAATATTTTTATCTCATAACAAAATATATTTTATAGTTTTCTGCATGCCATTCCTTAATTTATACACTCTCTTATTCTTTTATGTGTAATTTTTATGTATACTTGAACTGGTTGACCTACAAGGCTTTTTTATCCGAAATGTATCTACATAATAAAAGAAGAAGGGGCTGGGAAGGTGGCTCAGTAGTACAGCGCTTGCCTTACATGCATGAGGCCCTGGGTTCAATTCCTCAGCACCACATAAGCAAAAAGAAAAAAGCCAGAAGTGGCGCTGTGGCTCTAATGGTAGAGTGCTAGCCTTGAGCTGAAGAGCTGAGGGACAGCATCCAGGCCTAGAGTTCAGGCCCCACAACCGGACCCACCCAAAAAGAAATAAATAAAAAATAAAAGAAGAAGAATATTTGAAAATCTTGTAAGAATGTATTAACCTAGTTTATAATCACATTTAATTTTGAGTTTGTCAGTAATGTAAATTCCAGCTATATAGGCACACACTTATAACCTCAGATACCCTATCTGAAAAATAACTAAAGAAAAAGGAGTGAGGAGCCAGGTGCCCATTAATCACGCCTGTAATCCTAGTTACTCGGGCTGAGGATTGTGGTTTGAAGCTACACTGAGAAAGTCTATGTGACTCTTACCTCCAATAAATAATGCATACTACATACATACATACATACATATATACATACATAAGTGGGCCAAAGTTATGGCTGCCTATCAAGCATAACCCTAAGTTCAAACCCCAGTACTATAACAATAATAATGCTGCCGCTGGTGATATTGATGATGTAAAAAATTCTAAGCCAAGTGTATTATAATAACACTAAAAAACTTTTTCATAGTCACTGTGTACACCATGAACCAAAAAATACTTACCTGTGTCTGAAGGACGTAAAAAATCAGTATCACAGGTGAAAAATGTCTGATGGTCCTGTGCTGACAAGTTCATATCATAGTAGGTAAGTGGCTCTTTACCAGTCACCCAAGTGTATCTTTACCAAAACATAAGAAAATGTTTAAATTGTGCATAAGAGAACACCTTTCTATTTAAAAAGACAGTAAACCCCAAAAACATGACTGAAAATTCTATTTCAGAGTGTTCTTAAAGCTTATTATACTCAATAATATCAAAAGATATAAGCTATACAAACTATCATGCGGTGAAAAAATACCCAAAACAACAAATAGAAAACAAATTATTCAATAAATAATGCTTTAAAATTCAGACTTATAAGAATTAAACAATTTTGAGAAATACACACATATATATGTATATACATATATATCTTATTAAATGCTTGAATATATTCTCAATGAATTAGAATGAAATGCTAAAAGTAAAACTCAAGTATAGTGGCACACAGCTATAATCCTAGCAACTCAGAAGGCTGAGAGTTCAAGGCTAGCCTGAACTACGTGTCAAGAAAATAAAATGCTATCAAAACATAAAAAATATTTGCAGACCATATTACAGTAAAAATTTAACTTTCTTATTCTTCTACCCTACAATGGATTAAGAAAAAGTTAACAAACTAACAACGTTTATAAATGTCAAATCTCATTAGTTTTATCTTTTTAAAGAATTTCATCTGATCTTTTAATCATTAAAAATTATGACTATATAGTACTTGCACAAAATACTGGATTTCTTTATAAATTTTGTGTATTTGTGCATGTGTATGTGTGTACTGGTATTTCGGCTTGAACTCAGGACCTGCACTCTTCCTTAGGTTTTTTTTTTTTATTTTTGTTAATCCTGGTGCTTGAATTCTGGGCCTATCCCTAAGCTCCTTTAGCTCAAGGCTAGTGCTCTACCACTTGAGCCACTGCACCACTTCCAGCTCTCTCTGTGATTAATTGGAGATGAAAGTCTCAGGACTTTCTTGCCCAGGCTGGCTTCAAACTGTGATCCTCAAATCTCAGCCTCCTAAGTAGCTAGTGATCCACTGGTGCCCAGCTCTCTTAGATTTTTAAGCAAGGCTAGCACTATACTATTTGAGTACCACCCTTTTCTTTTTGTTGGTTAACTGGAGATAAAAATCTCTCAGATTTGTCTATTAGGGCTGGCTCTGAACCAGGAACATCAGATCTCAGCCTCCTAATTAAGATTACAGGTAAAAGCCACAGGCTCCTGGCTATAATTTTACTCTTATCTATCAAATTGATGAAAATATATTATTAAGGACGAAATGAGATATGTATTGCACACTATTGATATAAATGTAAATTAGCACTGTAAACACTTGGTATCCACAGGTACATGTTTACAAGGAAAATGCCCTTGAGAAAAAAAGCAAAGCATGCTCAGAATGTAGAGTGCAATAATGTACTGACGATGCTTAATTCATTTATCTCATAATGCCACCCAACTTCTGTGAAAGGCATGCTGCCTTTGAACAAATTTTTCTTTTTTCTTTTTTTTCCTACTTTCTCACTTCAACTAAGAGCATTTATTTTTACCTTGCTTTGGGGCACCATATGCTATTATGGAAGGCACATTTCCACAAAATCAAGGATGGGAAATACCCAGAAAGAATGATATAAATAGAACTAGCAATAACATAGGACTTACTGAGAGCTTCTTTACGTAAAATGGGTTGTATAAGGCACATACAGGAATTTACAAATTTTGTTTCCACAATTTCTTTTCAGATTTTTTTATGTGTGGGTGTACTGGTATTAAACTCAGGACAGGATCACACATTCTTGCTTGGCTTTTTTTGCTCAAGGCTAACTCTACCACTTGAGCCACAGCTGCACTTCTGTCTTTTTGGTGATTAGAGATAAGTCTCACTGACTTTGCTGCCAGTGCTAGCCTCAAACTATGATCCTCAGATCTCAGCCTCCTCCAGTACCTAGGATTAAAAGTGTAATCCACTAGTGATTGGCCTCTTTTGATGTTTTTATTTATTTTTTTCCTGGCTATACTTGGTGAGAACTACAAGTAATAAATCCACAAATAAGGCATGTTTACTGTATTTGTATTTCTCTTTCTAGTAATCTATTAGGTAATAGCTATCAAGAGTCTTAAAACAGTCATACCTAGGTGGGAGATAAGCATATGAAATTCTATTATACTACTATTCCTACTTTTATTTTTTTTAATTTCCACAATAGTATTTTTTTAAAAAATAAAAGGAAAGTCTAGAGTCAATGGCTCATGCCTATAATCCCAGCTACTTGGGAGCTAGAGATATGAGGATTATGGTTCAAAATCAGCCCAAGCAGAAAATCTATGAGACTCTTCTCTCCAATTAACCAACAAAAAGCCAGAAGGGGGAGTTGTGACTCAAGTGGTGGAGTGCTAGTATCGAGGAAAAAAGATAAGATTACAGCACCTAGGTCCTGAGTTCAAGCTCCAGTACTGGCACATACATGTACACACATGTACACATACACACACAGATAAATAAAAGGAAGAAAATTACTTGTTTATATCCTTTGATTTAGAAATTTAAATGTTAGAAATCAGCTGAAAAGAAACAATTATATATTTATGACTACATTTTTTTTTTGGTCAGTCATGGGGCTTATTAAACTCTGGGCCTAGGTACTGTCCCTCAGCTCTTCAGGTAAAAGCTAGTGCTCTACGGCTTGAGCCACAGTGCCACTCACTTCCAGTTTTCTGTTGATTAACTGGAGATAAGAATCTAACAGACGGGGCTGGGAAGGTGGCTCAGTGGTAAAGCACTTGCCTTGCATGCTTCAGGACCTGGGTTCTATTCCTCAGCACCCATAAGCAAAAAAAAAAAAAAAAAAAAAAAAAGGCCGGAAGTGGCGCTGTGGCTCAAGTGCCAGAGCGCTAGCCTTGAGCTGAAGAGCTGAGGGGCAGCGCCCAGGCTCAGAGCTCAGGCCCACGAAAAACAAAAGAATCTAACAGACTTTCCTGCCCAGGCTGGCTTTGAACCACGGTCCTCAGATCTCAGCTTCCTGAGTAACTGAGATTACAGGCATGAGCTACTGACACCCGGCTATGACTATTATATAAACTATCTGTTTAGTACCCGCTATGACTATTATATAAACTATCTGTTTAGTATAAATGTTAACAGTGAAATAATAATCTTAGTAACTGTATGGAAGGGATGTAGGTAAACTATGATATGAAAGAATGTAGTATAACCATTAAATATAGTACAATAATTAAAAATCACATTTTTTACTAGGAGGCTAATGTGGGATGATCATGAGATCTAGGAAAGCCTAGGCTATATAGTAAGACCTGATTCCTTTGACTCATGCCTATAATCCTAGCTACTCAGGAGGTTGAGATCTGAGGATCATGGTTCAAACCCAGAACTAGCAGGAAAATCTGTGAGACTCTTTTCTCCAATTAATTAGCAAAAAGCCTTAAGTGGAGCTGTGACTCAAATGGCGGCCTATCTTCCAGCCATGATCATCAAATCTCAGCCTCCTGAGTAGCACCACCAGTACCCAGCTTATTTGAAAATATTTTTTTGACATTTGGTGGTGCATGACTATCAACTCTGTACTCTAGAGGCTAAGGCAGGAAACTCACAAGTTCAAGGCCAATCTGTGCTACATAGTAAGACCTGGATGGACACACACACACACACACACAATCTTTATAGTACTTTGACTCAGAGACAGGTGCCATATTTACACCAAAAGAAAAATATATTACCTCCTATATTCTGCTCCTCTGAAGAGGTTTAGAGGATTTCTCCATACCTTGCATTCTGAAAAACAATGAGGGAAAGAAGTAAAACATAAAATTTAATCATACGATTTAAATCTTTATTTAACCAATATTTATTGTCAGCCTACTATGTGCTAAGCAGTGCTAGCCATAGTGTTACAAATTTGAACAAAGCATAAACTATACTTTCAAAAGGTATAGAATTAAATCTAGTTTTTCTTATTTCTGTCTCTATAGCATTTTATTCATAAATCAGTTATAACATTTACTATAGTGCAAAGTGGTTATCTCTTTAGTTTTTAGTTTCCCCTCAACTATGATCTCCTAAAATGATGTTAATTCTTGTATTCTTGGAGTCTACCACAGCACCTGAACTGACTTTTTAAATTTCATTATATATAGAATGAAAGTCAATCATGAAAACAATGAACTGAACTGTGTAACAAGTACTATAACAGAGATAACTTCTATTCTAAGATGCAAAAAAGTGATGAGTTTTTTCTCTTAGAAATCAAGGAAGGCTTACAGAGGAGGTGACATATGAGCTGACACAGAATTACTATAAAAGATGAGTACGCCAGCCTAGGAAGCAGTAAATAGCATAAAACTGCTTAGTACATTTAGGCTAGTAAATGGGTATGGAGGTAGTAAGATGGAAAACTAAATAATGTTAAAAAATAGACTTTGAGAAATTGCTAAAGGAGCTTATCTACCATATTATAGAGTTTAGATATTATCCTTAGTCTATAAGAAGCCATCAAAAATGTATAAATAAAAAAATTAGGACTTAATAAGACAAAAGAGCTGGGTACAAACTTAAGTGGTAAGTATGCTTGCTTAGTCGTCTGCAGCTTGCCTAAAGAGCTGGGTACAAGCTTAAATGAGTGCTTGCCTAAAGTACAAGGCCTTGAGTTCAGTTCGCAGTACAAAGAGGGGTGGGGAGGAGGATGGAAGACGAGAGAAAAGAAAAATATTATTCATTTCTGCACTCCTGCAGGATAATCCCATTCCCACTCATCCTAGTCATTCAGGGCTCCAATTAAACAGTACTTCCTCAGGAACTTTGCCTGACAACATCAAAAAAAGTATTAGCAGTTGAACTCCAACATTCTTTTTCTACTAAATTAACCTAACTCTATTGGTTGTGCTCATTTAGCAATTAAGAAATTATGGGAATCCTATGGAATTAATTCCTTTGTAACATTACTGCATTTAGGGGACGGATGCTAGCATTACAACCAGAGCCTCAAACATGCTACTTACCACTGAGCTACCCCCCAGTCCCTATTATGGTATCATTATTACCTATAGAAAATAAGAGGAACAATAATCCAAAAATATAATATAAATGATAAATACAATACATATTTCAATTATTTGAAAGTAATTATTTTTATTTAAAAACTTCCCTTTCCTAATTATATATCATTATTAAGATTTGCTTTTTATACTGGATATATTATAAGGAAACATACAGAAAATAAAAATATTGAGTTTGGCCAAATCTCAATCTTTTTTCCTACTTCAATCTCTTGGTAGAAATAGCTAATGTCTCAGATTTCTGCTTTATCAGAAATAATGTCCCCTGATTGATTGCTGTACATATATGCACTGAGGGAAATATTTTGATTTCTACTCTCCCTTACAGCCTATTAGTGGCCATTTGACAAATGTCTGACTAGTGATAAGTTAAACTAAATAGTATGTAACATATCTCGAAGTACCCTGTTGCCTACTGAGGTATGGAGGCAAGTAAAGGAATATCCTGGCCCTCTCTTCTTCCTGCTGAATACTAGATAAGAAGGCATTAACACTAGAGAAAGTATGTTGGATCACAGGTAAAAACTGCATTGTGAAATGGCAAGCTAATAGAAGGGGTCTATGTCTCTGATGATCAGTGCTCTCCACACCAGTATGGATCAATTATATTAACAAGAAAGATAAAAGTTCTTCCTGTGTTTTAGTCTGGAATGTTATAATAACTAAATGCCATAATTGAGTGGCTTATATTTTTTATAGTGGAGGCTTACAGTGATGCTGAGGATTACATTTTTGGTTTATAGATGGCATCTTCTTGGCAAATTCTTACAGGGTGCAAGGGATAAACAGTTTGCTGGAGTATTTTTATAAAGTCATTAATCTCATTCATGAGGATTCCATTCTTACAATCTGATCACTTCCCAAAGGCCCTAAAATAATTTCATAATTTTACTAACTCTCAAAGGCCCTAAATTAATCAGCTTGATAATTAGGGTTCAACATACAAATGAGGTATAGCACTCTGTTGCTAAGGATTTTATGTTGTCCAGGATTTTCTGTCATCCATAGCCAAACTCAATCTTTACACAACTCAGAAAACACATTGGAAACTAGTCACCTGAGAAATTCTGTCTGCTGTTTTCACCTTCTCTATTGCTGGAAGGGGCACCTGGCTCTGAAATGCTGCTTTCTGTGCCTCCCATCAGTGGTCGCAAATGGCTTATTGATACTTGCTCAATAAAAGATGTGCCATGTTTATGGAAGTACCACCATTCAAATATCTATGAAAAAGACAAAAACATGTTTTACTGGAAATTATAAACTCAAATTAAAACATTCTCTCAAATAATTCCTTTTAATTAAGTCTGTTGAAATTGTTTCAAGAAGATGGGAGTGGAGTTAGGAAGAATGATAGAAAGGGTGAATTTGATTAGATTATACAAATGTGTGGAAATGTCACAATGAACTCCTCCTTGTTAAATTCAATACTTTAAATGCATAGTCTTCCCTCCTTGCTAAAAAACAAACAAAAACCCCCAAAAAATGCCTTGTAAAGAATGACTTTCTTATAGGTTTGTCATGAAATTTAGACATGTTTACACAACATTTATACTTGTAATGAAACAAAAATAATGTGTTTTATCTATAAATATGTCATTATGTAAATTGTGGGTAGGGACAGGAGAGAAAAATGGGGGAAGATGAAGGAAGGATGATACTGTACTCATAAACTGCTTTATGGAATTGTAACTCTTTGTACAATTATTTAACAATAACAACAAAAACTATGACACATTGCTATTTTATCTGCAGCATAATTAAGCTAGTGTTCTCCCACAGTTCCATTCTGGCTTTTTTCTTCTGGGGGGAGGTAATTAATTAGAGATAAGAGTTCCATGGATTTTCCTGCCTGGGGTAGTATCGATCTTAGCCGCCTCCTAGGATTACAGGTATGCCTGGCTGAGCCTCAGTGTTTTTATCTAGCAAATCTAGCTTAACAAAATTTGTAAGAGGCTGGGTGCTGATGGCTCATGCCTGTACTCCTAGCTATTCTGGAGGCTGAGATCTGAGGATTGTGGTTCCAAGCCAAACTAAGCAAGGAAAGTCTATGAGACGCTTATCTCCAATTAACCACCAGAAAACTGGAAGTGGCACTGTGGCTCAAGTGGTAGAGTGTTAGCCTTGAGCTGAAGAGGCTGAAGGACAGTGTCCAGGCTGAGTTCAAGCCTCATGACTGACCGGAAAAAAAAAATTGTAAGAAAGTACTTTTTAAAGCAAAAAGTACTACTTTTGTATGTGTTAATACTATTAATGGAGATTGAGACAAGTTGATTCCAGAACTGAACTACTTAAAAATTAGGAAGGTCTATGAGACTCTTCTCTCCAATGTATTTCTTTTCTTTCTTTCTTTTCTTTTTTTTTTTTGCAAATTCTTTATTGTGATTAAGTAATTACATAATTCCACAAATTTCACAGTATTGTGGGATAGTGAATGCTTAAAGTCACAAACACAGGACTGGCAAAATATTAAAAAAATAAAAAATGAAATAAAGGTATTTTCAACTAAAAAAAAGTCACAAACACATTCTAACTTTCATGGGGCAAATTGTCTACCGTGGTTTATAAAATTTATGAGTTCTATGAGCTTTGCTCTCCAATGTATTTACAAAAAGAAGTTCTCTGTCCTGAATTACTATAAATTTTATTTATTATTATTTTTTGGGGGGGGGTCCTGTCGTGGAGCCTGAACTCTGGGCCTGGGTGCTGTCCCTCAGCTCTTCAGCTCAAGGCTAGCGCTCTACCACTTGAGCCACAACACCATTTCCGGCTTTTTTTTCCTGCTTATGTGGTGCTGAGGAATCGAACCTAGAGCCTCATGCATGCAAGGCAAGTACTCTACCACTGAGCCACCTTTCCAGCCCCTACTATAAATTTTAATACTGGATACTCCAACCTCCTCTACTTCCTATGCCTGACTTGTACAAGCTACTTTCTTAGAGGACTTTTCCTGACTCCATAGAACAGGATATGAAGCTGTGTTACACACTTCTACTGGGTTGTTTTCTTCTCTCTCTCTCTCTCCCTCTCTCTCTCCCCCTCCTCCCTGTCCCCCCCCTTCTCCCCCCCCCTTTTTGCCAGTCCTGGGGTTTGAACTCAGGACCTGAACACTGTCCATAAGCTTCTTTTTGCTCTAGGTTAGCACTCTACCACTTGAGCCATAGCACCACCTCCAGCTTTTGCTCTTTATGTGATGCTCAGGAATCAAACCCAGGGCTTTGTGCATGCTAGGTAAGCACTCTACCACTAAGCCAGGTTCCCAGCCCAGATCTTCTTCTTTTATTGTAAATTTTCACTTAAAATAATCCCATGGCTAGCTGTGAACTGCAATCTTGAGGTCTCAGTCTCCTGAGTAGCGAGGATGACAGGTATGAGCCATTAGCACCAAGCAACAACTTTATATAATCACAGAGCATAACATACACATATAAAACAGTAGTTTTCAAATCTTTAGGAATGTTATTTTGGCTTCAGTAAATAGCAGAATTAAAACTTCTACATAGGTACCAAATGTATAGCTTCATTTTGTACTGCATTGGCTATAATAGTTACAGGGAAATGAGAGAAAATAAAAATGCTGGTCTGTTTTTCTATTATGTCATTCCTTTATGTTCAATCTACAATAATTTCTCTTTCTACTCACTTTTTTTTTGTGGGTCGTGGAGCCTCAACTCGGCCTGGGCACTGTCCCTCAACTCTTTTGCTCAAGGCTAACACTGCCACTTGAGCCACAGTGCCACTTCTGGCCTTTTCTGTTTATGTGGTGCTGATGAATCAAACCCAGGACCTCAGGCATGCAAGGCAAGCACTCTCCCACTGAGCCATCTTCCCAGTCCCTGCTCACTCTTGAGTCAATAAACTGTTAATCCCCACAATATGTGGTCATGTTTTGGCTCCTACTATGTTTTACTAATAAATACAATGAAGCTTTTAAAAAACAAAAAAACACACACAACCAGAAAAGACAAGATTTATATTGAGGAACGCTTGGATAAAAAAACCTGGATAGGGCTGGGAAGATGGCTCAGTGGTAGAGCGTTTGCCTTGCATGCCTGATGCCCTGGGTTCGATTCCTCAGCATCACATAAGCAAAAAGAAAAAAGCCGGAAGTGGCGCTGTGGCTCAAGTGGTAGAGTGCTAGCCTTGAGCTGAAGAGCTGAGGGACAGCGCCCAGGCCCAGAGTTCAGGCCCCACGACTGGACCCCCCCCCCAAAAAAAAAAAACCTGGATAGTGCCAAAGTGTATAATCACAAAGATAATAATAAACTGCTCTTCACTATATGAAGTGTGGGTGCTTTCTTTATAAACAAATATGAAATAAAGGCTTTTAAGACTCTTACATCAACTTCATAACAGGTAATAAATAATTGCTGGTATTTATCAAATGCTATCTGTGCGCTAAGCATTGTGTCAAGTCCTTTATATAGATTATGTCATTTAATTAACAACTTATTTAAATTCCAAGTTTAAATGACTAGTTGTAGTTCAAATCATGTTACGTTGCAGAGTTGGGTTTCTTTTTGTCTTTCCTGGCTGGCTATATAGCCCAGATTGGCCTTGAATTCAAAATCCTCTTGTCACTATGTGCTGATAGAATTGGGTTTCTTATTTTAGTTTGTTGATTTTGGAGTTTCTAATCTTTATATTAGATTGCTCTCCATATATATGTCAGTAACACATATCTGACTGTATTCCTTTATGTGAGTATATGTGAACAGGTTTGATGGTTCAGGTAGTAAAGAAATTAAAAAGATGTCCAGAGCTAGGCATGGAGGCACAGATGAGAAAATCCTTCAAAGCCAGTGTAGGCTAAAAAGTGAAACTGTGGGAAAAAAAAAAAGTCTGACACTAATACTATTATTTCTACTGAAGCTGTAGAGCACCACCTACAGATGAAAAAAAGAACAGAAAAATCTGATGGCCATGGAATACTCCTTTAGATTTTTTTAATCTATAGTAGGGAATTTTCCCAAAGTATAAAATAGGAAACAATAGATCTGAGGGATGATAGTAAGGATTATACAAAATTTTAATATTTTTATATTAAAATAATATCTCGCTAAAGGAAAAGCTGAATTACAGTTAACACAGCTCATCTATTATGGGATTTCTCAGAGTAATAATTAAAATTCTTGTGTGTGTGTGTGTGTGTGTGTGTGTGTGTGTGTGTGTGTGTGTGTGTGTGTGTGTGTGTGTGTGTGTGTGTGTGTGTGTGTGTGTGTGTGTCGGTCGTGGGGCCAGAAATCTGAGCCTGGGCACTTTCCCTCAGCTCTTCAGCGCAAGGCTAGCGGTCTATCACTTGAGCCACAGTCCCAATTCCAGCTTTTTCTGCTTATGTGCTGCTGAGGAATCGAACCCAGGGACTCATGCATGCAAGGCAAACACTCTACCACTGAGCCACCTTCCCAGCTCCTCAAAATTCTTTTAAATATTCACTGAACCACTTTCCATGTTACAAGACTTTATTTACATCATTTTATTATGTTCCCATATTGTGTGAGATGAATATTTTCTCATTACAGATGAGAAATGGGAGCTTGGAAAAACTATAGGGCAGACACATAAATTTTATTTTTCACAATATTTTAGTCATTTTTAGAAGAGGTATGTGCCTCCCAGATCATCTTGTCCTCAAAGTAAATGAGAAATTTAACTTGTATACTGTTTTATTCTTTTTTGTTATTAACATAGGTATTTCAGGAATTAAATTTGTAACACATCTTAACCCCTCTCTGACTATAACAAAACTTTCATACATTTCATATATGTACATGTATGTGTATATATATGTACTTATTCCTAATATACGATCTACATGACAAGTACTGCCAATCTGTAAAAGTAGAGATTGTTTCCAAAATTATTTGACCAAGCAACTTTTTCCAAATACCAAATATATTTGGAAATGCTGATCCATACGTATTTGTAATTATTATAAATATACAAAGGATCTTTAGATAAAAGCCAAAATGTAAATGAAGAAAACGGAAACTACTTACAAATATTAGTCCTGATATCAAAGAAGATGTTCCTGTAAGTGCCACATAGAATTTCGGTGTCAATGAATTTAAAAATCCTGTCACTGTTAAAAGAGAAAACATCACAGTTAAAAAAACACACACAAACTTAAAGTACTTAAATTACAATTATGTAGGTGTTTTTAATGCAGAGACAATGCAGAGACAAATAGTACAGGTGGTCCTTGACTTTATGATGAAATCATATCCTGATAAACCCAGGAAGATATGTTGAAAAACATGAAAAATGCACATGATACCTCTAGTCTTCCAAACATCATAGCTTAGTAAATATAGACACTGTAGAGTATTGCTTGCTTACTCTCTAGATCCTGTGCCCAATGGAAGAGAGCAGCTCATTGCTGCTATTCAGTATTGGAGAAATTATACTGCTGAGCCAGGAAAAGATTAAAATTCAAAATTTCTGTGGAATGCATATGGCTTTTACACCATTTTAAAGTTCTAAATTTGAAATTCCTAAATCAGGAACTGTTTATATTAATATCTAGTCTAAAATTCATTTGAAGAATTTTAAATTCTTTGAAAGGTTACTCTGACTTTCCATTATAGCATATATATATATATATATGTATACATATATATATTCACAAGCTATGAAAGTGCCTCCAGTGGTAGTACAAGGCTGAGAATTCAAACCCCAGTAACACCCTACTAAAAACAAAACAAAAAACAAAACTGTATGTCCATATGTAAATGTAGGATTCTATACTGATGATCACTTAAATAAGAAAAGAATCAAGCCAGGCATCAGTGGCTGATGCCTATAACCCTAGCAACTCTGGAGGCTAAGATCTCAGGACTGCAGTTTGAAGCCAGTCTGTGCAGGAAAGTCCATGAGACTCTTATCTCCAATTAATCACCTAAAAGGTGGATGTGCAGCTGTGGCTCAAGTGGCAGAGTGCTAGTCTTGTACAAAAAATGATCAGGGACAGTGTCCAGGCTCCAAGATCAAGTGCCAGGACCAGCATGCATGCATACACACACACACACACACACACACACACACACACACACACACACACACACATATCAAAATGAGGTTTTAGCATGTGCGAAGCACTAGGTTCAATCTCCAGCAAGGAGGAAAAATGCCAGAGTGAGGATAATTTAGTTTGCTCTTCAACAGAAAATTTAAAAACTAAAGAACTTGCAAGTCACAAATTAGTCTATAATGATAAGAAGTTAAACAAGCATACTTTTACAAAAGCAGTTTAAAATCATTCTGTAATGACTTTGGTGAAATACAAATCAATATTTTAAATTTGAGGGAAGCAAACAGTATGTTTGGTAAATCAGCAAAATAGCTCAAAGAGAAAAGGCACAGAGCCCTGCAGCTGACTTACTGAAATACTAGATCACATTCTTCACTTTAAATAATTGTCTCATGAATACTTTTTAAAACTGGTCTTGTGTATCATCTTAAACAAAAAACTTATTAGTATTTTCTGATTTAAAAAACATAAATGAAAACCGAAAAAAGGAGTGCTAGAATATTTCTCAGAGTAGTTGTAAAGAATGATATAATGCAAGAAAAAATAAAATGTTGCCCTCTCCTAATGTTTCAAAGAGAGGGAGAAAAGAAAAGAATTGTGCTGGGAATGTGGCTCAAATGGTAGAGTATCTAACTAGCAAGAACAAGGTTCTGAGTTCAAATCTCAGTGCCACAAAAAAAAAATCAGGCCAGATATGGTAGCTTACACCTATAATCCTAGCTACAAAAAGACATAAGTAGGAAGATCATAGTCCAAAGCCAGCCTAGGCAAAAAGGCAAAAGCACAAGACCCTATCTGAAAAATAAGCTAGAAAGCAGTAGAGGGTGGGAGATTAAGTGTTAGAGCATTTGTCTAGCAGTGTGAAGCTTGGAGTTCAAACTCCAGGAGCACCAATGTTTATGTGAAAGTCAGCTACTCTCATCTAAATGGTGCATCCAGTAGACTTGAGTAGAAAAATAAATAAGATTGTTGAGTGTGGTGGTGCATGTCTATAATCCCAGTACTTGGGAGGCTGAGGCAGGAAGATTTCAAGGTCAGGCCCAGTCTGGGCTACATAGTGAGGCTCTACCTCAAAATTACCTAAATAAATAAAAATAAACGATAAGCCCAATGCACATTTCAGCAAGCATGCAAACTATCAGTAAGCACTTTGTTTACCTATATGAATACGAAATTAGCTCTTTAGAGTGTTTATATCTGAATTTATATGTATCTATCTTCTAATTTTTTTTCAGAACATTATCTCAGTGTTTCATGTCACTTCATGGAATAGAAAACTGCCTTCCTCTCTAAAGAAAAATTAAGTACTGTATTGACAAAGCCATCCCTTAATAGAAACATTTCCATCGTGTTCTAAATTTGCTGCTGAGTATGAATGAAATACAGTAACACGACATTGTAAGAGGCTCTGACGTCATCCACTGCATCCTGTCTACAGCTGAAAAAAAAAACTGTATTTGCAGAATCTACTGGGCTCAACACTTATTAAAAGTCTTTACTCGACTCCATGACAAGCGCTCCACAAAACAAACACACCGAGCTTCTCTCTCCTCTCTCTTTCCCTTCCCTGTACTGGTCTATTTTATCACTCAAGATAAAGCCTACAAGAACAGATAATAATATCACGAAAAAAATAGTATATTTTTTTCTTTTTTATCAATTAACTATTTCCCAGGTATTTTTTAAACATTAACGATAGACTTATTATTTCCTGGTACGTTTCTCTGAGATCATCGTATCACAGACGTGCTCAGCTTTGTGGTCTGGGAGTGGGTGGTCTGAGCAGGAGGATTCTCACAGGATCCTACAAATGGCTAGGGCTATCTCTGCACTCCGTGTCCGAGCCCGAGAGTGCTATCTTTTGCCCTCCTCCCCCACTGCCCCCCACCTGAAGCGGGCCGGTGGTCAGGTGGCTTTCCTTCCCCCCCCCCCCCCCCCCCCGTAAAGGCAGGGAGGAGAGGGCGGATCTTCAAACCTTTAGGGAGGAGCCGGTGCCCAGTAGCAGCTCAGCTCTGACAATCAGCTGCGGTGCTGTGGCCCGAGAGAAAAAGAACCCACCGGATCGGGCACCGTCAGCTCTTTCATCGAAGACCTCCAGGACGGCAGTGACCATGTACCCCCTGCGCAGCTCTGGGTCCCCCCTCTCCCGCCTCTCCTGGGCCCTCCCCTCCCGCCCCGTCCCCGCCCGGGAGGTCTGGGCCTCTCTCTCACCCGCTGTCAAGTGGTCACACAGCCTCAACGGGACCCTCAGAGCGTAAAGCAGCCCCAGCCCCGCCACGAACCACAAAAAGCCCCCAGATCCCGCCAGCCCGGCCCGCAGCCGCTCTTTCCAGCCCAGCGGCGGGCCCAGGCCGTGAGCAGATGCAGGAAAAAAGGCCGCAGCCGCCGCGGCTTCCCCAAAGCCGTCGCCGTCCGCCATCTTGCCGCTGCCGCAGGCGCCGGCAGCTCTGGGGGAGTGGGAGGGGGGGGCCCCCGGAGGTGGGCCGGAAACGGGGAGTCGGGAATGCTGGGATCGTGGCGGACCCGAAGTCGGCCTTAGGTTAAAAGCCGACTCTTGGGAACCCAGCCGAGGAGACAGACCTCGGAGGTGGCGGGCTGTTTACGCCTTGGTAGGGGCGGGGGGGGGGGGGACGGGTAGATGCACCTATTCTGCAGGGAGTGGACTAAGAAGGAACGCTGAAGTCGCGGTGGTTTTACTTCCAAACGAGATGAAGGACGTTGGTCACCCTATTGGAAAAGCCACGGGTCGCTCCAGGGGCCCGAGCAGCTCTTAGTGCCTGGGACTCGGCTGCCATTGAGATCACCGCGGCTTAAGGCGCCAACAGCATTCGACACGCGCGGCCCGAGTAGAGGGAAGGGGAAGTGACTCAGTGGCAGAGACACAATACTTGAAACCCCGGAAGGCAGCGCCCAGGGGCGCGGACGCTTGCCGGCCGCCCTCCCATCTCGCGTTTCCGGGAGGGTCCTGGCGATTTCCTCCTCCCGCCGCCCCCCCCCCCCCCCCCCCGTGAGTCCCCTCTCCTCCCCCTTCTCCCCACCCCTCCCCCCGCGGTGATTCCATCACTCAGCCTCCTTCCCAGCATGCCTTGCGCCCGCGGCCGGGCTGGGCCAGAGCAGCCCAAGATGGCCGACTTCGAGGATCGGGTGTCGGATGAGGAGAAGGTAAGGGGGTCCGCCTCTCTCACTTACCTCCTCCCCCGACCCAGGACAGGAGTGCGGCCTACCCGGAGGGGGAAGCCAGGCCGCGACCCCAGGAAGAAGGAGGCTCTGCGCCCGTGCCAGCCCGCGCTGTTTGCAGGCGGGACGCTTCCCTCTGCCTCAGGGTGGCCCCAGTTCCCCACGCCTCAACGCTCCTCTTCCTCCCGGACCCGAGGCACAGCCTAGTAGTGGCTTCCTTGCCAGAGAGAGGAGACTTTTCCCCCCGTGGAGTGGTGACCGTGGACTTGTTTTTTTCTGTCATTTTCAGCGACGTCTTTCGCAGCAGTTACTTTGCCGCCTCAGGCTGTCGGGGCTCCCCAACCCCCCCCCCCTTTTTAGATATGATTGGGGCTAGCTTAGGGCGAGTCACTTCCTGGTCAGGGTGGCCTCTTAACTTCCCCTCTTGCTCCTCCTTCCCCAGGAAGTGATATTGCTGTCACGACTCCCTGATGGAGAGTCTGGTCCCCTTCACGCCTGTTCTCGCCGATCAGTGGGGCTGGTTTGCTGTAATAAATGTTTAAGGCGCAGGTTATATGGCTTCAGAATTTGATCACCGCTTTTGCCTTGCAGATGCGCCCTTGATTTGTTTGTGTATACATAACAGCCCCTAAGTGATTTCATCTCTTTGAACTCACTCACCAATATACAGATTATTTATTTATTCACTCATATATATTTTTGCCAATCCTGGGGCTTGAACTCAGGGCCTGGGCACTGCCCCTGAGCTTCTTATGCTCAAGGCTAGTACTTTACCACTTGAGCCACAGCACCCCTTCTATCCTTTTGTGTTTTTTTGTGGTACTGAGGAATTGAACCCAGAGGCAAGCGCTCTACTAGACACTAAGCCACATTCCCAGTCCCCCAACAATATTTAAAAAAAAAAGTTTCAGGATTCATGTTAGCAGATAAAAATAATAGTTTTTGTTTTTTTTTTTAAACTTCAGAAAGGCTTTTCTAGTACATAAATCTCATGTGAACACACTCAAGTCTGGACGAAGCATCCTGACTTCTTGGATGCTACCTCCCCCGTTGCGGGGTCTGATTATAGTTGGGTTTGTCAGCATGCAATTCACATGTAATTTATTTAAAATTATTTTGAACATATTCTTTTTTTTTTTCTTTTAATGCCAGTCCTGAGACTTGAATTCAGCGGCTGGGCACTGTCACTGAACTTCTTATGCTCAAGGCTAGCACTCTACTACTTGAGCCACAGTGCCATTACTGGCTTTTTTGGTTATGTGGTACTGAGGAATCAAACCCAGGCTTCATGCATACCGGGCAGTCACACTACCACTAAGCCACATTCCCAGCTGAATATATTCTAAGTTAAGTGAATAACCTTTTTTGAACTACAACTCCATACATTGGCCCCTTCGGTGCCAATCCTAGGGCTTCTACTCAGGACCTGGGTACTGTCTGTGAGCTGTTTTGCACAAGGCTTTGCTCAACCACTTAGGCCACAGATCCACTTCTGGCATTTTGGTGGTTAATTGGAGATGAGAGTCTCAGACTTTCTTGCCCATACTGGATCTCAGCCTTCTGAATAGCTAGACTTTCAGACATGAGCCACTGGCACCTGCTGGCCTTTCTAAAACAGTCTGTCAGACTTCTCAATAAATGAAGAATTTTAGTGTCTGTAGAAATTAGAATATTCTGTTAACTTTTATAAGACGACAAGAATTTTGTCTTCTGTTTTCTAGGATAGTTTTACAAAGTATGCACCATTGACTGTTCTGTAAGATCTAGAGACAAAGTATTTATGATCGATCTAGGAGTCCTCTGTAAGAATAATTTGACTTATACTACATTACACGCCGCTTTGAAATACTGAGAAAAGTATCCAGCCCCTTAAAAGCCACAGAATAAGGTTGTCTGGGGATGTAGCTCAGGGGCAGAGCTTGCCCTAACATGTAAGGATCTACGTTCAAATTTCAGTGTATGCATACCCACACAAACTCACAGAAAGCTACTGAACACTTTAATATCACTTTTTTCTTATTTGAAAATTCTCATTAATGTTACATGATTGAAGAAAAACAGACATCTTATATGAACTTATCCTATCCTTAAACATCCTATGTAAACTATAATGAAATACTTATTCTTAAGCAAATGGTTATGATTCAGATGAGTTACAGTGAAAGTCCTGGGATAAAATATTTGTTAGAAAACAGGGTCTTGCTAGGTGAGACTAGTTTTGAACTCTATCCACTCATCTTAGCCTCCCAAGTGCTAGGATTACAGGTAGAAGTCCATTTACTCTAAGCAAAAGTGTTTCCAAACAGAGTTTCATAATGTAGAAAAATAAGCTTTGAAATTTTTGTGCTCAAGTCATACACCTTTACTATATATATATATATATGTATATATATATATATGAATAAATAAAAAATATATTCAAATAAACAAGTATATTAGAATAAGTGAACCATATTAGAATACTTTTTAAATTAAACTTTGGCAATAATACATTTTAAAGTGCAAATTAAATTGTTTGATATTGATAGTGTTTTTAATTAACCTGTGATCAGTTTTCTTTTAGCTTTTACCATATTTTTGTTGCTTAATTTTCTTACTTGTGTGTTTATTGTTTGCCTTTACTGGGGCTTGAACTCAGGGCCTCTCCATTGCCACTGGTCTTTTTGCTCCTGGCTAGTGCTCTGTCACTCTCAAGTAGTAGAGCATTGATTTCCATCTTTTTTGCCGATTATTTGGAGATGAGGATCTCTCAGCTTTGTCTGGACTTGCTTTGAATATTGATTCTCAAATCTGAGCCTCCTAAGTAGGTAGGATTGAGACAGGACATGCTGCTCAGGTTGCTTAATTTTAATAGTTACATAATAAGCAAAACATAGATCTGCCAAAAAGTGCTGATGACTTCCATTTATGTTTAGCAAGAAGGTTTTAGATTAACCATATTGTCTTTTTTTAGTGTAGATAATCACATATAGTTAACATTATAAAATCCATATGATTTGAGATTACTAAAATTTTGTTAATATCTTCTACTTACAGATAAATCCAATTCAGATCTCTGTGGATCTGTTAACTTTGTAAGATTGAGTTCTCCTTTAGTTTTGTTTGTTTTTGTTGGTTATGGGGGTTGAATTCTGGGCCTGGGCACTGTCACTCAGGTCTTCAGCTCAAGGCTAGCGCACTACCACTTGAGCCACAGTGCCACTTCTGGCTTTTTTCTGCTTGTGTAGTGCTAAGGATTCGAACCCACCGCCTTATGCATGGGAGGCAAGCACTCTACCACTGAGCCAACATCCCAGCCCTCTCCTTTAGTTTTATATCTATCTATCTATGTCTGTCTGTCTCTTTTTCCACTAAGCTTTCAAATTCCTTTTAAAATTCCTTCTAAATTTAAGAATTGAAAAAGGCCAAGAGTTGTTGATATGAATGTCTTAGGATTTATAAACCACAAGTAACAGTTAAATAAGACTTTTTATCCTTTGAAATGTTTACACTGGAGGCACCATTACTAATGTGTAACATCAAAATATATATTTTCGTCGGTCTTGGGGCTTGAACTCTGGACTTGGGCACTCTTCAGCTCAAGGTGAGCCACAGTATCATTTCCCGTTTTCTAGGTTTATTGGAGATAAGAGTCTCAGGGACTTTCCTGCCCAGGCTGGCTTTCAACCGTGATCCTCAGATCTCAGATTCCTGAGTAGCTAGGATTATAGGCGAGAGCCGCTGGTGCCTGGCTTAACATCAAAATATTTTGTACCTTAATATATATTTTGAATTTTTTTGGGGGGAAATCTAAACTTTCCAGGTTTTTATAAGTATCAAAAAGCCATAAACCCTAAGGTAAATTTGGTGATTATGGTTTGTGATTTTCTTTCAAGCATTTCTGTAAAATCAAGTAAATCCATCCATTCTCTTAACCAAGTACTAAAGTTTTTAACCTTTTTTTTTTTTTTTTTTTTTTGGTGCTGGTCCTGGGGCTTGAACTCATAGCCAGGGCACTGTCTATGAGCTTCTTTTGCTCAAGGCTAGCGTTCTACCACTTGAGCTACAGCTCCAATTTTGGTGTTTAGTTGGAGATAAGAATCTCATGAACTTTTCCTCCCTGGGCTGGCTTCAAACTGTGATTCTCAGATCTTAGCCTTCTGAATAGCTAAGATAACATGCATGAGCCACCAGCACCTAGCTTTTAAGTTTTTAACATTTTATAAAGAGGAAGTTGGGTTTTTTCACTTCTGCTTTGTTACCTGAAATGGTCATGATGAGCTGTCTAAATAAATCAGGAAGTGAAGTGTGTAATAACAAGAAGAAATAAATGCCTTTAGTCTTTAGTTGAGTTTCTCAGAATAAACTCCATTTTTCTAGGTACTTTTTAGATTCTTCTAAATGTTTAGCAAGACCAAAATACTCTTAACAAGGAAGCTTGAAATATGAGGTGAATTTATTTGCCTTACCTGTTTCCTTTTATTTCATGATTCAGCTTTTTAAAAATGAATGTAGAGAGAATTCAAACATCAATGTATACAACTTCAAAAATACTTTAACTGTGAGTGGATGTATTGCTTTACAATTTAGTTCTTTGGTACCATTAGTAAGGCAGTTTTTTTTGTTTTTGTTTTTGTTCTTTTGTTTATGTTTTTTTTTTTTTTTTGGGTCCGGTCGTGGGGCCTGAACTCTGGGCCTGGGCGCTGTCCCTCAGCTCTTCAGCTCAAGGCTAGAGAGCCACAGCGCCACTTCTGGCTTTTTTCTTTTTGCTTATGTGGTGCTGAGGAATTGAAGCCAGGGCCTCATGCATACAAGGCAAGCGCTCTACCACTGAGCCACCTTCCCAGCCCCGTAAGGCAGTTTTTTGAGAAATAGATTTATAGGGATGTAGAAAATACTGTATGATGCTTGAATTTGAAGGTGCTAATTGAGCCATGAAAATATTACACTTTCAGCGCGGACTTCCTTAATTATGTATGCATCCTTAACTTACATATTGCACTTGTAGAATGAAATAAGCCCTGAAGCTTATTTATTATGTCCATTTTTCCAGCAAGGAATCTATTACCATTCATATTATCATTCTGTGTCTTCACTTGTTTTTAGTTTGCTTTGCTGCTCTGTTCGTACAGTTTGTTTTAAAATCTTGGACAGAGCACAAAACCCAAGCAGGTACAGACTCTTGTTAAGAGTATAGGTATGCCACAATTTCATCTAGAATGTTATTTTACTGAAGCTAGCCTTAATGCTAAACAGTAGCATAATGAGTCACAAAATTAAGACCCTAGATTGTTTGGTTTGGGTTTTCTTTGGTTTGTTTGGTT